GCGGGCTACTCCACAAGGCAGAGGGCAGCTGTAGTTAGGAAAACATTATTGAGTCTTGTAATTTAATTAAAAATGCTGAAGCGCAAGGGGGGGGAGGAAGTGGGAAAGGGAGAAAGGGGACACAAGGGGAAATCGGGGCTCCGCTCCTGCTATTTTAAAAATCCGAAACACGCCGCTCAGTGCTATCTCCAACCCTGATCAGCAGGCTGCTAAATCTCCTACCGGGCATGGCTATAAATAAAACACTGATTTTGGGTGTTATGTGTGTATATAAGTGTGGAAACATTATACCGTTTTCACACACATCTGTCTGCAGCTTGTATTAGACACTGGATCCCACACATATTATACAGATACCTAAGTGGATGGAAAGTGTATGTGAAGTTACACACCCATCTGCCATGATAGCTATTTGTGGGTAAACTTACAGTTTATACATCTGATATATAGTTGTGTGCAACACACAGGCTGGGCACATCTATGCACCTACCACACACACAAATACACACACCTGTATGTATATGTGTGCAATGTTATTTAAACACACACATACAGAGAGAGAGAGAGAGAGAGAGCCCTAAACTTGGTTTAAAGAAAAGGCATTTAACACCCCCAAGGGAAAGCACAAAAAAAAAAAACCCAAACAAAACAAACAAAAACAACTAGGATTAAGAAATTAGTCTCAAAGAATAAAAATAAATAAATAAGGAAGGTGGATGCAATGTGTCCCATTTGGCCGCCCTTTATTTCCAGGGCCCCCTGAATGTTGTGACCCCTCTACAGATTATTCCCAGCGGCCCCGAAATCCAGAATATGGTTGGTTTGCTAGCACTATTTCCTGGGCGTGATTCTTCCCGTAGCCAGGAGCTCTGGACATGTTCCACGAGCATGACAATTCGGTTGGAGAAGCAGGACAGAGCCTGACCCCCGGCTCCATGGATGAGTGCTTCTGTCGGACCCCTGCTGTGCCAATGTGGACCTTGAACCGCAGCTCAGAAATCGGTGTGATTTGCCTGGGAAACCAGCAGCCAGCGACCAACTGGCCTTGACAAGATGAAGAGGCAATGTATAGAAGACGTTTAATGGGTCGAGGGAAAGGGGGGGAGGGGGGAATATATATCCCAGCCAACCCTGGAGAGGAGCATTCCTAGCTGATCTCTTTAGGGCCGAAAGGAAGAGGGGGGGGGGTCGTTTAAAACACGTCGGGCTCCTTTCCCCCAGCATCAGGGCCCCCGCAGAGTTCTGCCTAGCAAAGGGTGTTTACTTTTTTTCCTGCAGGAGATGGGCTTCCGCTAAAGGTGGGGATTTCTTTAATGTCAGTGAATGACTTGCTGGAGGCTGGCGAGGCTTTATATAGACGCGTGGAGTCGGATTACGCACGCCTAATAGCCTAAATTTCTTCAAGTGATCTTGAAATCACGCTGATGGGCGGTGGAACATTTATAAATAACTATGCAAGGAGTTAAGATGATTTACTGGAGAGATCCTGGTGAAGCAATTCCCCACCTAAGCAGGACACTAATGAACGGGCGGTGTGTCTGGAGGGTGGCTTTAGCGACTGGGCTGGGGGGGGGGGTTGTTTCTGTGCATACACAGTCTCACTGATTTTTAATTTCGGCGTTAAAATAATTGCAGTAGCAATGGGCGGCCTCGGGGATTGCCCCTCCCCCAGGAAGATATAAAGCCCTGGAGTCACTCCTGAGCTCCCCATTGTTATTTATATTACCAGCCCTCACCCGCCCCTGAAGAGCGGGGCACAGCTCCAAGGAGGAGAGAGAAAGACACCCCCCCCCCCCCACGCAGGATCAGGCTAAGCCCCTTCAGCCCCACCCCTCCCCAGCGAGGCAGGTGAGGGCTTGTGCTAGGAAAGTCACCAACACACGCCAGGGCTGGGATCAGCCCCTCTTCTCCAACCTGGGCCACCAAGGCGGGCAGCCAGCACCGCCCCAATGACACCCCCCCACCCCTTTGCAAGTGCAGTGGGAGCCCCCACGAGCCACCCCGTCTCCTCGTGAGGCTGGTTCAGGGTCCTGCCTCAGAAGCAGGAGAACAACGTGGTGACAGCCCCCCTTTCCAGCCCACGGGCCCCTGGGGGATTCGTGCTCACACTGTACCTCACTCAGAGCACCCTGGCGTGGGGAGCTCGCCCCGATGCGAAGCAGGGGCAGGACGAGCCTGCTGGGCAGTAAGAATAAAGCTCCTTCCAAAATCCCGAGGAACAAAAGGCCAGCACTCCCCACCGTGACCAGCGAGCAGCCGGAGCCTGGCCTGCGCTCAAGGTCCATACGCGCTCGCTCCTCCTGGAGCAATGGGCCAGCACCCCTGGAGTCCAGCCCATTCAGGATCGGGGCCGCGGGGAGCAGGGTATTCCACCCTGGCCACGTGGTCAGCCTCCCCTTCCCCTCCCCATCTGCGTCAGGAGGGCAGGTCGACAGGCAGTGCTCTGGATTTGCGATATAGGGGAATTGCAGAAGGACAAATACTTTCTCGAGGGACTTCTCTTTCCAAACTAGCGCTCAGGTAGAACGTAGGCGCAAGACAAAGCGGAGCGATGGGGTCCAGGGTGCGCACACAGCCCAGCTCGAGGCAGGACAAAGGCCAGCTGCTGCCGCGTGAGGAGTGTGCACAAAACCCCGACAGGCAGGCCTCGGGACGCTGCGCTTCGCCAAAGGAAAAGATGGGGCCAGAGACTTCTTCCATTGCAAGAAGCGGGGGTGTCTGTGAGACCCCCCCCCCCCAAGCTTCCCCGCTTGCAGCTCTGTTTCAGCAGGGCAGAGGTTAGGTAGGCTGTTGGCCTGTCCCAGGTCCCTTTGCACCTTGTTTCCTAGACAGGTGCCTCCAAAATAAGAACCCTGGTTCCAAATAAGAACCCTGGAAACAAACAGCATGCCAAGAGCCCTGCCGTCTCCCAAGAGGCCCACCAGGCCCCTCCTGTTGGTATTTAGGTTTTTGTCTGTCGTTTGCCTCACTGGACAAGAAAGTCATTGGTCTGACACAGGACAGCCTGCCACGCTTGTGTAGAGTGGAAGGGCCAGGCGTGTTTTCTAAGAAGAGATCCACACCGTTTCCTTCCCACTAAATTACCACCTTCCGCTTCACGCTGCCCTGGATGGTGTCAACAGAGGCCAGCCCGGACGGGAGATGATCTCCACTTACGGTTCGGAAACCCCAGTGGAAACACATTTCCCAAAGGAAGGTGGCCGAGCTCTCCGTTTACTGCGACACTCTCACGCATGAAAACACGCACTGGAGATTTTCACTAGCCCCACTAGCTTTGTCACGGCTCGGAAGTCACACCCTGGTCCTTCCAGATATTATACCAGAAAAGAACAATACATCTATGGGCCACACTCTCTCCCCATCACCGCGCACACAGAAACGTGTCGGGCTAGTGTTTGGTATACAGATTCACTTCTCTTTACAACGGGAAACTGAACGGTGGCAAGTGATCAGTTCCCATTTGTATGCAAATGCACGGCTTTCATTACTGGTATTGTATAGCTGGCCTCAATGGGACTTTTGCCCGAGTAAGGACTGCTGGTTTCTCTCTTCTCCCCCTTTATTTTGCCATCTCTTAATGAGGAGCTTTACCCAATTAGACTACCTACGCGTGTGTACCTGGGTTTCACTAAGAGACATTCTTGCTGCGGAAAGAGATCTAAGGAGAAATTATGGCATTATTTACAAATGGATGCATGGACCTAACTCTCTTTCCTAGCGGTAGTTTCATGAATGCCTGTCTGCGGCACAAGTAGACTCGGCCACTGGTTCAAAAGGAAAGATGGTGGCCTCCAAAGATCACATGCCACCCAGGTGGCATCAGACAAGTCCGTTGACTGGACATACCGGCCTGTCTAAATACATGGAAGAGGATACTTTGAAGAACCGTGCATTTGGGTTTAGCATTTGACTCTTACAGACCGGCTTATAAAGGAGAGAATCACACTTGTATTAGTATCCGCCTATGTGTAGAATGTTTTCGTCTGAATACGGTAGATACAATTTCTGTTTAGCAGTTTCAAGGGTCACCTTTTATAAAAAAAAATTAGTTTCTAGAACTGGGTAACAATGAGTGTTTCAGAAAGTGATTTTTTAAAAAACTTCAGATAGGAAATTAACGTTTAAACAATCAACAGAGGCGATTTAGCAATACTTCCTACTGAAGGGACAGATGCCAACGATATTATAGGGCAAAAAGAAACGATTTCTGGACTTGTGATATAACCGCTTCCCCGTCCTCCCCCCCAAGATTTCCCAGGTATTTATTGGACCTTTCTGCGTGCTACACACAATTTTAATTCCTTTCGAAATCCGTGCATGTAACTTTCTTTCAGAGTGATTGAGCGTGAGTGACTCGAGAGTTCTTGAAAATGTCCAAACATTGTTTTTAATTCAAAGCCTGAGATACATAAGTGCAATATTTTATCTATATTTTATAAAAACAATAACCCCGAAATCCAATCAGCAGCTCATGATGCTAGTTATGCCTTCCCAATGTGCCTGGGGGGGGGGGGAGAATCAAACTACAATGCCCTCTCTTTATTGATAATACCAAATAAATATCTATAGAAAAAGCTTTCTCCAGTGCAGAAGCATGGTGAAATGAGAAATAATATTAGGTAATTGGAAAATTACCCAGCTATTTGATGGACTAATCTTTCCCGAAAGAGGAAATTCTTGACGTGAGAATGCTGCCTGGGTGTGTGAAATAACGTGCGGATCAAAGTGAGGGGTTTTTTTATGATGATTATATTTTAAATTTGTAAATCAAGGGGCAAGCGGGAGGGAGGGAGGGAGGGGGGAAAAGGAGAGCTTCTGGCATTCTTCACTTCAGATGCTTGAATGTTTCAAAGTTGCTGCGGTGCCGTTAGCTGACGGCTATTGTGTGTGTTTAAGACTGGGGTGGGGGGGTGAGGAGGGGACTTTGACCCCCTGTTGGTGTGGATTTGCTGTCCAGAGACCGTTAGAAACCGGCAGAATGAATTGAATTGAATGCGATTGTAATGCACAAGGCCCTCCTCCTTTCTCGAGGAGCTGGGAGGCCAGGAAAGCAGCCCGGAGGAGAGCAAGCAGCTTTCTTACACGAAGGAAGATGCTTTGCAAATCAGTGAATTGTATATTTCGAGGGGGCGGGTTAATTTTTTTTATTATTATTATTGTTACTATTCCAGATTTGGAGGGGGGGGGGGGGGGGGAGATCAGCAACCAAGAAGACCAAAAAGACCGAGGACACACGTGGTAGAGAAGTCTGAATCCAAAACCTCTTTTGTAAGTGTGATTACTTTCTAAGAAAGCTTTAAGTTATTCTTTTAAATTAACCACTGAAAAGACCAGTCTCTACTGAAAGCTTTTCTATGCCGCTAGATTATTTGTGCCTAAACGAGAGGCCAGGGATTTATAACCCACCCCTCTATTTCCTTTACTTTTTGAAACAGAACAAGGCCTGGTTTAAAAATATATTATTGTTTTACTTGTGGGTCGGTTCATAGCGACCGATTCTGGGGGTGGAGGGTCGATACCTTGTATTCGATACCTGGGCCAAGTTCCGATGGCAAAAGAGATGCTTGTTAGTGACTTAATCAGCAGAAGGGGGAAAGAGGGGGCCTTTCTGAAAGCAACGCGCTTCTCTGATCACTGGCATCGCCTGATTTCTCTGCAGTGTATGTGCGTGCGTGTATATGTCTATGCATATACACAAACACACACACACACACGGTTTAGGGGTGATCGTATGTTCTGAGAGGCTACTATGGATTTCGGGGTATATTTTTAATATGGTCGCTATGCATTGCAGAGTTAACGTCTGGAAAGTGATAGCAGGTTTCTTGTCTCTAGGATCTCTTTGTTCGGGGACCAGTAGGTGGTATGTTTAAAGAGAGACAGAGGGAAAGAAAGAAAAAGAAAATGGCCCTTTGCAAGTCATCTGACTGTTTTCTTCCGGAACACAGAACTGCTGCATTAGAGATTAGGGAAGGGATGTTCTTAAAACAAAATGTCTAGCTGGAAGTGCTACTGAAATAGCCCCAAACCCTACACATCTTTTAAAGCCTCTCATCCAGGAGGTTGAAAAGGGCGGGCGGGGGGGGAAAGAGAGAGAGAGTCGATTTAATAGCAAACTTGAGAGGGGCTAAACCATTGGTGTGGCTTATTTTAAAGCGAAGGAAAATCATGCCACCATCATGCCAACTAGGAAAGTTTTTCCTCTTTGCAGCCTGACACTGCTCCGTTACAACAGAAGCTCTCTTTGCCTTAGGAGGAGGTTAAAAATACCACATCCATGCTGGGGCCACCAGGCTTACAACTCCAGAGTCGCTAGGAACATTTAGAAAGGCAGCAGGAACACTCTGTGCATGGATGACAGGCCGACCCTCCCCCACCCGAACAGATACAGGGGTGGTCACTTCGCTTATTAAGAAAGTTTATTTTAAGGTAGTCTGTACGTATAAGATTTCGCTGATCAGGATTCGAAGGAAAGGAAAGAAATCTCTATTCAGTAGGGGGAAAAATTCTCCATTATTCCTGACTGTTCTATTCAAATACACCTGGAGGTAAATTGTACGTTTTAAGTCAAACTGGCACTATTGGGGGGGGGGGGGGGTAATAGGACGGGAGGGCAGGATGAAGGGGCACCGATTCTGAATACCAGGGAGGTGACTGATGTGAAGGGGGGGGGGGGGAGAACCTATTTCATTCAACACCATGGACAGCGAACCCTTAGCCGGCAATGGAACCAGAGGACTGGAGCTCACCTTTCTTTTCAGCACCTTTCCCCTGCAGAACAAGACCTGGTCTCTGTGCTCGAATTCCTTATGATAACGTGAGACGGGGAGGGGAAAGGAATAAATGTAGGACCCCAAGCCCAGCTGAAGGGGAATGCACAACAAAAATGGAAGACAGAGAGTTTGAGAATATGATCATTGTTTTCCAGACTGAAAGATCTCCCTGGTTTTCACTCCGTTGCCATTAGCTGCTCTGTATTAAGAGCCCAGCAAGGTGTAGGCATCGGAGACAGGTATTTCTGGAATGCCACCTGGGAACTAAAAGGGCAGTTCTAGCTAAATAGAAATGTCATTCTATTGGAAAACCATTCTGGTGGTTGGACCCCAATACACAAAGACAGAACTTTAATATTATCCAATCAAATAAGCCTAGATCAGGCAAAGCCACAACACCACCACCACCTTCCCCTCTTCAAAAATGCAAATCCTGGATTGGGTTGTGGAAAGAAAATTAATTCTGAATTGTGCTGAAGCTGGGCATCGTGTTGATGGCAAATGCTTGAGAAAAGGGCTCCCTCGCGCAGGTTACATTTCTTGAGATTTTTCAACCGAAATCCACCAGGTACAGACTCGCGGTCATGTAGCTTCTCGTGGACATAAATAAGTCGATGCATAATAAACTGAAATGAACCAGGAGGGGGAAAAGTATCTTCAGAAGATGGAAAAACGATGCTCCAAGAGCAAACATTCCTCTTGCAGCGTAACAAACAATGCATTTTCGCCGATCTAATACACATGCCATGCACTGTGTATTATATAATAGAAAGGAAGTCACCCACACACAATATTAGGGTGTGCGAGTGTTCGTACTATGGGCCTTAAGCCTTGAAGACGATATTTCACATAGCTGTCGAGCATTTCTGATGGCTACTTTATTATATACCCCTAGTAGATACTCTGTCGTGAGATTCTGTTTTATACTGCCTTGAATCGTTTTTTCCCCCAATTGTGTCTCTGGGTTTGCCTGTCAGAGGCCCGCTATCAGAAACAACAACAAAGGCCCCGAACAATTGGTTTGATCTAGTGGGAACAAAATGTATATATAGTTTACAGTTCTACTGTACTAACAGCCCCATCATGTAATTGCTCCCCCAGCAATGGCAAAGTGGAGACTCTCAGAACTGGCACAAAAATGATTTCCATCCTAATCAGAGTCCAACTCCCACATAGGCATGTAAAATATCTGTGTCCATCTAAATCCTGCTAGAATCAAATCAAATCACAGTCTTAAACCATTCTAAGAATAGAACGCAGCGTTTTGCTAGCCACAGAAGGTTATTAGAGCGGAAGATAACCCACAAATCTGCACTTTCCACCTAAAAATCCTTACGTGGGGAGGGGGGGGGGGGAATGTAGAAGTGGTTCGCCATATTTTCTAAGGATAAGACTAAAGTACAATAAGACGTGTTAGAACAGTTCTAAAATACTCATCTCTGATCTGTATATAGAATTATTTAATAGTAATAAAAGCAATCTCCCCTGAGCGAAAGGACGCGGACTAAAATGGCATGACACTGGGGGTAGGCAAGTACAGCCTGGTGAAAGAGGTTTCTAGGTAGAAGGCATTCAGTCACGACTTAAAAACAAAACACACCAAATAAATGTGTTAAAACCATGTATTTATAGCTAGCGTTTCCTTATAAGAGAGCCCTATTTTCTGGGGATGGTTTAAAGAAGAACCAGCATTCGGTGAAATAAATGAAGGGTATTTGATGGCAGCAGGAATTCTATATGCATTGAATTCGACATTGTCCCTCTTGGTGGGCTTTTAAACCCAATGCCACTCTTTCGGTTTATTATTTAGAAATGATCTATAAGGAACTCCTTCCCTTCCAAGCTAAGCCATTCTTAGCTCCTGTGACTTCCGTGATTATGTAACTTTAAGAAGCTTGATCACAAGGAACAAAAACACATGTAAATAGGGAACCCGTTTATTTTAAAAGTGTGACTTTAAACACATTCTCTCTTCCTGGAAGGGGAAAGAGAATAATTCCTTTACAATTTTCTCAAGTCTGGTTTTTGGTTTTTTGGTTTTGTTTTGTTTTAAATGACATCCATGTCAGCTTTAAGGAAAATTATTGCGGATGTCTTTTGAGGTAGGAAATATAAGTGTAGGCTATACAGTCCTCCCCTCCCCCTCCTGCCTGTGTTTAAAAAAAACAAACAAACAACCGCGACAGAAAATATAAAGCTTCTCTGATTAACAGTTTAGGTGCAGATCCCAATGTACAACGTCTGCGTGTCCCTAGGATGACTAGATTCTCTCGCCCTGTAGCGCAGCCATGGATGCAGCTACAAGCTGCAAGCACTCAAAGCTTAAACACTGTTTTCTGAAAGCCCCAGCACCCAGGCTGAGAGGAAGGTGGGGATGGGCTGGGAACAGAGTCTCTCGAATGTGACTCCCATAGTTTCAAGGACATCTTGCTGATGAGGATTTGGTTAATGGAGGAGAACTTATGTCCTCGCGGTGACGTCATTGGGTCCCAATGTAATCCTCTTGTGCCGAACCCAATCGGCAGATGTGCTGAGAGCCTGGACGGAGGGAAGAAGCGCTAATCCTTTAGACTGGATGAGATCAGCTGAAACAGCCAGGACTAGACCCAAAAACCCCTCTGCTAGGAAGATCAAGAGAAAAGGGATAAATTGAGCGAGACGCCTCATAACCCCTTTAAAGAGCTCTGGAGAAGAGCAGGAGAATGGAAAGATGCGTGGGGCACCCATACAAGTTCATCTGGCTTTTTCCAAGCCGAGCGGGAGCCTGGTTTTCACTCCGATGAGGTCTTTCTTCATTGTTCCAGGGGGGAGGAAGAGAGAGAAAGAAAGAGAAAGAAAAGGTCTAAAATTCAAAAGATAACGAGAGACTAGGCGCTTTTCTTATTCATCTCTAGCCTGCATACACACAACGAGCACGCTGAACCACGGGAGGGCGTCCGCACTGGATCTGAGAAAGCAGGCAGAGTTTCAGCCACAGAGGGCTGCTTCCATTGGAATGGGTAAATCTGCTTAAAGCTAGTCTTGCCGGTGCTGTAATTATGGGGTTTAGGCGACAATGGTGGGAGAACATCCCAGCTCGATTGCTAACTTGGAAGAGCGTCAGGATTTTTTTCCCCTTCCTTCCTCTTTTGTAAGCGTCCTTCAGGGGCTCTATCATTATTAGGGGGTTTTTTTGGGGGGGGGGCGACAAGGAGGGGGATGGAGGGAATTCAGCGGCAAGATCTATAGAAAGAAATCGTCCTAAATTAATAAAGTGCTTTTAACTCCGATGGCCAGCAACGAAATCGCTTTAGTCATGGTCACTCTCTTTCCATCCTTAATACAGACAAGCAAACCCCCCCCCAAAACAACCCCCCCCCCCAAAAACCACCCCAAAGCGTGGAGCTATTATTGTGATCAGCCGCTGTGGATTGCCAATGCGCCTCTAAGCTATTTCGGTTTCCCTTCTAAAGAAGAGAAATCAGCTCATTTGCATTTTGAGCGGCTTAAGAGACA